AAACTGTTTAGAGGTCAGTAGAACCATTTATGAATATCAATATCTATAAAAACACAGAACTCTCTTTGTGTAACATGGCCACACCAACACTACGTAATTCAAAAAAGAAAAAATGGGGAGAGAGAGGGAGAAAGGACATACTATGCGGTTGTGGTTGCTGTCAGATATAAACAGTCGGCTATTGAGGACATCAACCTCCAGCTTACCAGGAAACTTTAGAGGGGATATCAATAATCTAGGATCATTGTCTTTCTCCAGATTCGAGGGAATAGGAGTTTTGTCCAATACACTTTTCCCACCATAATATGTTATTGCTGCCTCAACCAAATCATCAACATCCTTGGGATAATCATGTAGAGAGAAATGTCACAGTTGATTAAGCCATTGTATATCATACCTATCATTGTACACTATTATAAAAAGAGTGATTTTGGTAAAATGAAAAATAAATAATAATAATAATAATAATAATAATAATAATAATAATAATAATAATAATAAATAAACTGCCTAAAAAGTCCTTATGTTAGGTATATTGTTAATGGTATAATTGTAATTGTAATAAGTATTCTAATCCAGTAGAATTCTATTTCTACCCTTCCAAATTAAATTGCATGAATTAAACAGTCTTATGTTTGGCAATACTATTAGGAGTATAGTTGTAATTTTGGTTAAGTACTCTAATTTAATAGAATTCTATTTCTGCCCTTTCAAATTAAATATATAATTATTCTAATTATATAGCCAGAGGAGCCATGGGACAGTGAGGTTCTTTAGCCATATATTTTGTTCATTTATTTGTTTTTACTTTTTAGTTTTGTAATTATATTATTTTATCCTTTATTATTGGTTATATGAATTATGGAACCAAAATGGGGTTCTATCAATATATCTTGAACAAGTCTCCCATTGTCAACGAATTTCCATTACTCTCAAAATATTTTGTGGAAAACATAAATGAAAATAAATGTAAAAAATATAAATTTATTAAAATCATATTAACATAATTTTAGATATAATGTCAAAATTATAATTCCATGATGTATAACGAATTAGGAATCAGATGTATTTACAAAAAAATCCTACTTATATATTGGTAATATAACTAACATAGAATTACACAAGTGTCATATAAAATTATATGTTATTAGGGAATACATATAATGTGAATCACCGCAAAAATTGTTCAATTATTTTTAATGGTAAAATTGTAATAACATTTATTCAACCCAATATCGTTAATAAAAAATTCATCTATACTCTAATCATATATTAATATATATACCTATAAAGATATTAGAATGTATAAATTACGAATATAACAAATGAGGGAATATTTTATATTTCTTTTTTCTTTTTACATAGAGAACGTATGGTTGAAGACTCTACTTGGTTTCAATAATTCAATAAAGGTAAATACATGTGAAGACTCTACTTGGTTTCAATAATTCAATAAAGGTAAATACATGCATTTTGATGTAAACCTATCTCGGAATGGTACAAAAACTTGGTTCACATAATGTATATACATAATCAAAATTTATTTTAATTAAATTCTGAATTTATAAACTATATACATAGTTTGGTTATAAAAAGTGACTTTTACTATAATAAAGTTTAACATGATTGACGGAGAATTACAACTAAAGATTACTTCAATAGTATTAATGAAATAGTCAATTCTTAAAGGCAATAAAAAAAAAAAAACAAACAGCAATGTATTGTTGAAAATTTCTTAATACTTGAATTATGAATTATATGTAAAAAGATACAAGCAAAATCATATTGCTACGAATAGTTGGCCTTTAAAAAATAGAGGAAATGAAAAATAATTACAACAAACGAAATTAATTAACTTTTAATTGACATTAAAGAATGATCATCTCATACTTGAATCACTAAATAGTAAATAATCATTATTCAAATAGAATTAGAGCAAAGTGAATTGTGAGAAAAACTATCCGCAAAAATTATATCTCTATGAATAGTTATTTCAAAGGATAATAAAGACACTATTGAAAATTTAAAACAAAATCATGCACAAATGCAAATAAAACTTTATATGTTATGTGTAAATAAATTGTATATGTTATATGTGTGTTTATGAAATATTTAAAATTATAAGTTAGATAATGACCAAATCATATTTTATAAATTTTATCATTAGCAAAAATGAACGATATAAATATAAACTATTTAAGTTACATATTAATCTTTATAATCTTTATATAGATCAATTCTTCGCTGATTATAAATTGGATATTACAATATTAAAATTATTATTTATAGCAATTGTGTAGAAAATTTTAAATGATTTGCTTATACCATAAAAATAATTAATTAATTTTAATAAAAAAATTGTTGAATGTGTTTAAAAAATATAATAATTTTAAAAAATAGTTTGAAAAAAATCTTAAGTATAGAATAACATTTAATGTGACTTTATTATTAGTTAATAGTAATAGTTATATAATAAAATAAATAAAAAAATAAATTGTTTGATTAATGCAAAAGTAACGGAAAAAGGCATGAAAACAAAAAGAGTTTTATTAAATTCTTTGCTAGCAATTATATAGATATAGATATACGTTGAAATAATAAAATAAATAAAAAAGATAAAATTGTAAAATATGTACAGTAATTTAAAACATATGATAATTTACCCACTAAAATTTTCAGTTATACAAAAAATCACTAAATAAATCCCGAATATTCTTGGCCAAACACATGCTTGATTGGAATTCTTTTTTTTATTCTTTTGGTAATTTTTTGCAATTACTTGGTATTTTTTGTCTAATTTTTACATTTTTATGCATGTTGTGTTTTATTTTTACTAGTCAGTGATATTTTCAATATTATCATTATTTGAAAATTATGTTTTAATTTTCATACATTTGACACAAATTCATAAATCATTAAAAAATAATATTTTGTGTACTTTGCTAATCTATTTAAAGTTCAAAGTAACTAATAAAATAGACAGATACAGATCCATTTGCTTCTTATTAAATTTCTCAGCACATTACAGTGAAGAAGTTCAACAGTAAATAGAAGTACAAAAACTAGAAATATGATGAAGTTTGGTGGAGTAATATGCAGAAGAATGAGTACCTTTCGGTGTCCTTCACCTGAAACTTGTGCTATAAGCTTGCCATTTGGTCCAACAAGGGCAAATGTAGGCCATGAACTTATACCCAACTCTCTCCATAAATACATATCACCGTCATTGACAACCTGAATTTTGTTTTCCAAATAATAAACTAGGATTGAAAATTTCAATAGGTTATTCGTCTTCACAGTCAAGTCAAACTAAGCACCAACAGTCCACCACATACAAAAATCCAAATTTTGTATACAGATAACACATATATATCATTTATAAAACTCTAAATAGTCGTATGTGATGCTTTAAGAACTTGACATACCAAGATGTGATGAAGCCCTAAGCCCCTTATATTATCCTAATCGGAGTGTGAATAATTTTCTCAAGGAACAAACCACACTAATCTGGTGACTATTCACGGAAAGTAAACAACTGTGACGTATACTCCACAGCTTTTGCACCATTTAATGTCCTAAAAAACCTATTCGATAATCATGAGGAACTTCAAACTAGCGATTACAACAACAAATATGCAGATACAAAATTGCTCTACTTGTAGTTATTATCCCCATTTACCACTCTTACTCTTGAACTTAAAAAATGTACATAATTTAGAGCACTTATTAAGGCATTTGAGTATATTTATTTAGGATGTTAACAAAATTCATATGAAAAGCATGGAATAAATTTAGTTTGCCCAGCAGAAATATATTATTTTGTATCTCTAACGGAGTTGTGCATAATTTATTTGAGAAAGCTTGATTAATCAAAATTTATATGGGAAACTGCCTATTAATATTGAAATAGATAAAGAAATATTGATGAACCCATTTTTATAAACATACCAGATGTATTTTCATATTGTTAATAATTTTTACTTATATATGCACGAACTCATAACATTGTCGTGGATCTAGAGATCAGGTAACCATAGGAAACGATTCTGTGAAGAAGTAAACAAGTTACCTTAGGAAAATATGAGTCAAATTCAAAAGCTTACAGGATGAGAGATTCCATAGCGTAAAACTGCATTTCGGATGGCGTCCAAATCTTTTTCATTGTCAAATTTTGCAGAATGCACTCCTACAACAACAAACTGGAACAACCATATACTACTTAATGGCAATGTTTGTAATGGACACGCTATATCATGTTATAAGCAAAATAGCACATCATTATGCATAAATTCCGGATACCCTATTTAGCATATATAAAATCCTGCACTTATGCTCGACTATGATAATTGGATTCATCACGAATTCTGTCATCATCCTTTTATTTTCACATAGAATATGCATTTTTAAAATCTGTCCTGCCCCGTCCATTATTTTTGGCTAGTTAAAGTTCTTCAACATATTCATGCCACGATAGAAAACTAGCACACTCAAAAAATGTTGTAAGTTTGGCCATCAACGAGATTTTTGTTTTCAATTACAATAAGATATTATAGCTACTTCTAGAGTACCTGTTATAATTGAACATAAAGGCAAGCTATTAATCATATCTTGACATATTTGACACAAGTTCCTTCCAAGTTCTTAACCAAGCTCTACATGTGTTGATGCCTTCCATTTCAATTTACTTCCAAAAGAGACAGGAGATGCAACAAAAGACTGATAATGAAGATTAACAGAGCTTTCGTCGCTTAAAACAATTTCGTATTTTAGTCAAATAAAACTTATCTGATCTTTTATGTTTAAAATCACATGGTTATACAATAGGCATTGTAGGTTTCCACTGATGGATTGAGATCATTAGTTAGCATAAAATGTGGAACGTAAGTAATAGAAAAAAGCTAACCTACCTCCGCTAATTCAAATGTATAGCATAAAGGTGTTTGGATCACATTTTTATGATCTCTGACCGCAAGCATAAAGGATGATGCATCTTGATTAGGTGTTTGCAACCTTTTTGCTATGTTTAAGTAAATTTTCAGGTTACAAGTTTATCAAAATATCAATATAACCTATTTGCAGTAAGATAATGAAGCAAATACAAAGCATTGAATGAACAGAAAACATTTAAAAAGAATAAGATGGTAGGGAAGTCTTAACCGACCAAATTGTTTGCATAGAGCAACAAGAAAATAAAAATAAAAATAAAAAATTGTGGTACTATCAATAGATCACTTGCAAAATCAATACCAAGCAGAAAATATGAAATAGGGACTTACTGGCATATCTTTGTACTTTTTCTCTAGGAACTCTAGATCTGGTAAGACATGCATACAATTTATACAGCAGTAGGTCCAGAAATCAAGAAGAACCACTTTTCCTTTCAAATCCTGTCCAAGTAGCATGGTGTATGAAGAATGGGATCATATCGTATAAGTTGTCATATTTCTACAGTTCAATACATAGATGATATAACAAAATATCTCGTTTCAGAAAAACTATCAACAAAAATAAGTAACACCAGAAAAATCATAGCTCTTACTGCTAACAGTAATCATGCCAACACAGGCTTAAGGATGATCTCTATGTAAAGCAAAACATTAATGACCCNTTTTATATTTTTTTTTTTTCAGCAAAAATAATATAAAATATTAAATATTAATATACTAAATATATTTTCTATATTATAAATTATAATATATTTTAGTTATTTCGGTTAACCGGTCGAATAAACCGATTATTTCGGTTGGTTTTAGTTCAGTTTGGGACAAAAGTTCGGTAGGTTCGGTTTTCCCAAAAGTTCGACTCGGTTATTTCGGTTATGGCATTTCAGTCGGACACCAACTCCAGTAACACGAAAAGTTTCCTGATATCAGCTAGAGTTCAACATTGAAATCTGGCAATGTGCTCATGAAAATCAGATAAAGACATTTACCATGTGAATGAACATAAGCAGTATGTTAAGTTACATAAGCAGCAGAAATTACATATTTACCCTCCGCAGCTTAAGAGGAGCCGTGTTCAGCCAGTCGAGTTTAGATGGAAACTCTGGCACAGTTGTGGCGGTGCCCCTTGAGATACACAAAGTAGCAGACATACAATTAAGAAAATGCCTTAGGAAATGAACAATAAAGGTAAAACTAATTTAGAGGCTTTTGCAGGTCAAAAACTTCAATACCTTCTATCCAAATCGGAAAAATAATTCACAAACTGTTGGATCCGAGCATTTCGAGATTCTTCTGCAACCACCAAAAGGAAAAGGAACCATGATTCTCAGTGCTTCTTTTGCAATGAAGAAACAGGAGTAATCAGACAATGTAATTACGTATGAGAGAAATGAAGAAGGAAAATGCAAAAGGTAATAATTTACAGTACAGGGCAACTGAAAAGTAGCCCATTGATGCAGACCTTTATTTGATCCAAAAGGAGCATTACTAGCTCCGAAAAGCAAGTTCCAAATCGCTTTTGGAGATGCATATTGCATGGCCTGCAAATAAATGAGAGCTTCCATATGTACATATCTACAGTCAATATAAGGAAACGATTGTAGGCATGAGTTACAAGTCCACAAGCTGCTCTTTTCCAAAAGAACATACTATACCTTCCAATTTGTAATCGTGAAAAGAAGGCAAGAAACAGCAATTCCTAAACTTCCATATCTCAAGATATCTCTTCGAGAACCTTGAAACCTGTCAACAAATCATTTTTTGCAACTCAAGGAGTATTGGACTGAATGTCCTTAACTACTGAGAGCATTTACTCGGATGATAAACGTGATTTTAGATAACATAAAAGTCAGATTTCTTTGATTGGAAATCGAATATATTAAAAGTTTTATATTTAAGATTTTTTTTCAACTATCAGGATCTGAATTTGATTTGTGCACTAGTTTGCACGACCCCAGGGAGGACTTATCATCAGTGATTGGTGTATATATCTGTGTTATCTTCAGTTGAGTAAAATAACACCAATGTATGTATTTAGTATGAAAGCCTAGTGATTATAATCTTAAGAAATACTCTCAGAAAATAAAACAGAGTGCCTACTCAAATTGGCTTTCACCACTTAGTGTGCGAAATAAATAAGAATTGGGCAATGAGGGAGAAGACAATGCTGCATCTCACATTTGCACAAGAATAGTTTTTTAGTACTAATTTAGTAAACGAACAAAGCAGTCCCAAAACTAACACTGTCGGCCAAAAGGTGACAACCCATAGAACGGAAGACTACTGAGTTTGAGTTAGTTCTCTTGACCATGTGAGGTGACTGGAGTTGTTAGTCCTTTTCTGAATCAGCTTCTAATCTATATGATGACACAAAATAACCCGTGATTGTATTGTAGAATGATGACATACGTCTATACATTTTCTACTTGGTACCCACACACACATATATTGTATATACAATATCTTACCTAAGTTACCATTGCAACTCAAAACAGGAAATATTGTAACAGTTTACATTAATAACAGATTCAAAGTTAAGAATATTAACTAATACAAATACCATACCACCAACGCCGACACCTTGGGTCCATTACCAAGAATCCAACTATGGTCTCCACCATTTATTCTGATCCATAATAATTAGTCCTTTATAGGAACTCTAACGTTCAATAATAATGGTATCAAACTTTTTGAGTCACTATAGCTCTCCAGATCCCCAAAAGTTCAAGGATTCAATGAATTAGAAGTATCCTTACCCTCCAATTGAGAAGATTCCATCTTCCCCAGAATCTTTATCCTGAGCAGTTATAGTAGTTTCCTTAATGTATGAATTGGCCAGGCTTGGTGTAGAACCACTAATAGATTCAGAACCCTGCTTCTCTGGATCTGCAAGATTTTCTCATAATTAGATATTGTTTCACATTTAAAATTTTCAAACACCATGGCATCGGCCGATAAATAACACCTCAAGGATTTTTTTTTTATAAAGAATAAAACTCAAAAAACTACCACTTTAACAAATTGGGATAGGAACTGATATAGAAGTGAATATAGCTATAAGCATTTACCCTAGTACTTGAAATAAAACCCCAAACCCACAAACATAATTTTACGAAGTTATTAAGTCATCATCAGAGAAAAAAGCTTTTATTAGAGTACAACGATTCATTACATGAAATAGGCCTCAGTTTCTCGTTTGTATCTAGGTACGAAAAGGAGTCTACACCAGAGTACATATTGTTGAGCAAAAATGTTACATAAATAGACTTCCACAGACTACATACGATGGTAACCAGTGCCACCATTGAGAATATCATCAAGGGAAATATCCGCTATATTCTTTCTGATTAGTGATGGACCAGCTGCCTTTAGAGCATCTTCTCCTAATGAAGTTGTCACAGCTATGCATCTGCAAGTGAAAAATGAGTAAAATAACACCACCATATATAGACACGGAGAAAGGAGAGTGAATTTTCGTGGTAGCAAGAAAAAAGAGAACAGACAAAGAGCAATATCTATTCAATTAACATGAAATTGTAATATTGTATTCGAAAGCATCAGCAAGGGCAACAACCAAAAAAAAAGGCGAAGAACTGTAAAACAGTCTTACAACAGGGGCTAGTAAAGTAAGTTCAAGCAATAGTCAGGAAAGAATAAATTGGAATACATGTTATTCTAGTAATGAACAGCAATTGGACAGACATCAAGAAAAAGCACAGATCCATAGCTCATCAAGAATCAATAAATTATAGATGATTACAATAAAAGAATGGAAAGATAATCAAATGATGAAAACAAAATGAATTTATTTCAAATACTATATATTGGAAATATCAAGTAAAAAGAGTCAAAGCAGTTGATGTAACATTTTGGAACAAAAAGAAGGCAAATGAAGCAAGATCATAGACTTTGAAAGTGTATCTCCTGAACTCCACAAGAGAAACCTGGACTACAAATTTGGCAGCCACAAACTAGGGTAAAGCTTACACGATCCAATTGATACGGAACTCCAAAAGTAGTACCTCATACTAGCTGATTTGGCAGCTTGCACTCCAGCTAATGCATCTTCAATCACAATGCACTGCATGAACATAGAAGCCATAACCTTATCCAATACTTAGCATGTCTAATTCTTCATTATTAGGAGACTGAACTTACGCAATATCCCAAATTATCTTTATTTGAAAAGCTTAGACTGCAATTCTTATATGCACATTGTAGAAGACAAAAGACTGAATACATAAAGGTGAAAAATATATTAAACTTTCCAGCTCGTGGTTGCCAGCATCCATTTAATTGGCAACCCTGTCACATCAGGTCACTCAACCACGCCTCAGCATTATGCCTTGCATACATAAATGAGACAAAGAACCATAAGGAACCACAACAACCAAAACGTCACAGTTTTTTGAATGCATACCTCACTTGGTGGCACATCCAAGATTTTTGATGCAGCTAAGAAGATGTCAGGAGCAGGTTTTAAGTTTTCAAATGCATCCGCAGACACAATAGCATCGAACCTGTTAATAAAACAGAAAAATTACCAGACAAACAAAACCAAGAAAACCACAAAACTATTTAGAGTTTATAAATTTTTAGTCAATTACAAGATCATGTCAATAATTCTCAGAAGCGAAGACTGTAGTTAAATTTCATCACTAGATCAGAAGTTCTAATTGCATGAGTAAATATGCAACCTTTGAAGTACAAATAGCTGGTGAGGTAAGAAATATCATGCGCAAAATCAAGACGAGAAGTTCTGAAGAAAATCATTGATTTGATACTGTGATTACTCAAGGATACAACATCTTGGCATTGTGACTGTTCCAGTGATCATCCTGTTCAATAACTATAGGTCAAAAATATCTATCAGAATATGGAAGAGCAGCTATCATCAGAAAAAATTTAATGTGAATTGCCAATATAGAGCACAGCAAGAATGCAGCTGCAAAAATGGTTGCAGTTACAATCTTCTTGGCAGTAATGAAGTTGTATAATGGTTTAGTTCCACAATACTTTCTATAAGCGTAATTTACAGGCATATAGGCTAGTTGAACAAGCAATAATTCACACTGTCAAAATGATATATAAAAGTTGAAAAATGTCAAGGTTGTGATATTATCTTAATTATGACATCCAAATTAATCATGAACAAACGTACATTGACAACTGCAAACCAGCAGCAGCTAAATTTGCGTCAACCTTGATACGGTCAGCACTAGATGCAACAGCAACTTTGAGGCCTTTGTTTTTACACTGTTGTGCACCAAACAGTAAATTTTTGGAGAAAATGGACCATCAAACATTTTTCATCCAAGTATACCTGTAATATAAGTTCATATGCACCAGGGAAACCTATGCCAGAACCTGGCATTGCATACTGCCAAAGTGGAACAAGTTTGTGGGTCAGATATATTCTAAAATCAACTAATTGATTCAAAAATTGTTTCAAACACCTTATCCAGATATATCTCGAAAAATCTCTTCTTTGCCGCCTCAGTATTAAATCCCTTTACACCTTTCACAGAAGCCACACCTCCTAAAAAATTGGCTTCACCTAATTCACAAAAAGAAGAATATGACCAAAGATCCACAGAATAGTGACAGTCGAGGGGAAGAGGGACGAAAATCATGTTAACAAAAACGATGAAGGGTAGAAAGAAAAGGCAAATTGGTACAACACACTAACTGATCTCCAAGTAATCTCATCAATTATTAGGATCAGGAGGCTTGATCTATAACAGCGTGAAGCTTCTGGTTGCAACAGAAAGAAACAATGTAAATCTTTTAGTGCTTCAGCGTGCAGAATAATGTATTTGAATGACCAATAAAGTTACTGAGTTAACTGTCACAAAGTTACTGAGTTAACTGTCACGTGCTTATAGATTCAATTTTAGACCTTGGTTAGAGTTATTCATGCAAATTGATGAAAGGTGAGTAGGTGACTGACCAGACAACAATAAGTAAAGAAAATAAATTTTCCCATATCGAGTATGCAAGCTAGAACAAGTGAAGTTAATGAAAAGTACCAAAATGTCTGGAAAAATAAACGTACAAAAAGGGAACTACCTTCCATACATTGGCAGTTGAGATAATAAGAACTTGGAAAATTCCAGTCAAAGTAAGAAATAACATGTGACATTGAAACAAAGAATTATAAGGAGGTACTCGTAGTTCATACAATGGCCTGAACATGTTTGAAAAGGAAGTAATAAATTGAATTTTACTATCCAGATAGATTAATAAAATCCAGTCATAGGACTTTAAAAACCTTTGAGAGTTCTTCGTTTGCTAAAATTTACTACGTCAATTACTGAATAAGGACTTAGCCAATAACAAATCCTAAAGAATAAAAGGGTGCGCAGTAAGATTCTTCATCAGGAAATAGTTGGCAGGAGTACATGGCAAAATAAACTGAAAAGACTGAAGGAGACATGAAAAGGCAAACCATTCACCAAACCACAATCAGTTTGAAATTTACCACTCCACAATTGCCTGTGTCCGGAAAACTAATCAGGCTTAATGTACGGGATAAGTAAATTCCCTCATCACTTGGTAGTCCTATCAGAATGAAGTTATCCTGGACAACATAGCTTACCAGCGTGATGGAGCAGCGCCTTTTTTAGTCCAACAAACAACTAAAGCCAACTATAACCCAAATGAAGAAACTGTGACCGATGCAACTTAAGACCTAAGTTCAATTTTTCAGTTATATAAAGTAAACGAGGACAGATGATCAGCCCAAAACCACTAAATTGCATATTAATCCCTAGCATGTCTCTTAGCAGGTGGTGTTATTACTGTTCGACCCTGAATCTGACCTCCCCTCCTATTATATTCTTACCACTTCGCCAACTAATCAAATAAACATAAAAATAAAAGCCAAAAATATTCCGATAGTCAGACGCTTAAAAGGCTCTGATACCAAACAAACAAAATCAACAACAGAAATGACATCCAGAGACGCAAATTTGGGAATCGGAAACACTCTACCTGTTCCCGTGAAAGGCACAAAATCTTGAACCGTGACCTTTACTCCCATCTCGGCAAAGAGGTTAACCGCCGCTAACCTCGACGGCTCCTCGCTGTTACATAGCACGCCATCCATATCGAACAACACCGCCGAGACCTTTCCCCACTCGCCTCCGGTTCCAGCTTCGTTTTTCTCCTCCAATTTCACGCACGCCTTCACCGTCCTCCCTCGCGCTCTTGTTACCACGCCGGAGAACATCGGAAGGGGCTTGTCCCTCGCCCGATGCAGGCATTTCGTGAGAGACCTTGATTTTGTAATCGAGAAGACCAGATTTTCGAAGTGGCTTCTCGAGCAGCTAGTTGAGAATGGCGATGTCACTGGTCTCAAAGCCATCGTTCGTCTTCGAGGGAGTGAAGAGAGTTCACTGATTTGCTTTGAGCTGACAACTGATTCTGTATGGATTTGTGGTGAGTGGCGCGGAAAGAAGATAGCGAGTATTGGACACCTTTTATCGCACTCTTGATATTGTTAGTAGTTTTTCGGTTTTTCTAAGATGTGGTGGTTGGTAATCAATTCGTTTGAGGGCGAACATTGTGTGGAAGAATTTGTAGATTGACATAGTGCAATTTCTTTTCGGCCCCATTATTTGCATTTGCTTGTTAGCTAAATTCCACCCCCTAACATATTTTTATTTGAATATAAAGGAATTGTATGAACATATGAATATCACTTTTATATTCTTTCACATTCTTTTGCAAGTTGATCGACATCTCTCTTCTCTTACAACTCTGGACAAAGCAGACTTACATCTAGAACTGGCCCTCACATTGTTTAGGGACCGAGTTAGTGGAAAGCGATATTTAATGAGAGCCTACGCTGTGATTCCAAATCGGAAGCTGGCCCTGATAAATAGAAGACATTAATTAATCACACGTAATAACTTGACGGTTGATATCTTCCTTTGACCAACTTTCTTAAGAGATGAACTAAATGCATCAAGAAAGAAATACATAAACCTCACCTTAAAAGAATTAAAATATCCATCATATTCAAAAGTAAATAAATAAATAAATAAACAAGCATGAACCAACAACTTTTTAACGGTAAATCTAATTTGTTGTTTTATGTGTAAAAATGTCTTTTTATTAAGGCTATTGTTAGGTAGACTCACATTAAAACAACTATATTTTTCAACATAGTGCATACTTTTAAATTAAAATGTTATATTAAAAAATAATAAATAAATAAAAGTGTGTATTTAATAAAAAATTATATTTATATATATAAAGTATAATAAATCGACTCGCTTAATGTGTATACCGACTTACATAATATAAACATTTCAATTGTAAAAATAGTTATTTTCACCCTAAAACCAATATATAGTAAGTTTTTCATACCATTTATTGTGACCCAAAATTTATGTTTTACTCACTAGATGGTACAATCACATAACGCGATCATCTAGTGCGATCATGTTATGTGATTTTGTTGTGTGATGGTATGATCATGAAACAATTATATTGTGTGATTAATTATATAATATAATTATTTTGAGCGATATCATATATGAAGTAATCATTACCGTATCATTTGGGGTGGAAATTACTGAAGTGTTTTAAAATTGTGGTGTGAAAATTATTATACCATTTGGACTGAAAATAAAATGTTTTAAAATTGTGGTTATCACCCTTTTCACTCCTCCATCACTTGTAATAAACTAATTAAAAAGAAAAAATAAACAAGGAATCTGAATGGACCTTCTCGTAACTTTATCCAATCAAGAACCAAGATATATACTTTAATTCCCCAAAACAATGAATTCCCTAATAAACATTAAAAGCATTAAATATTCTCCTACAACCCTTCAATTTACCACCATTTCCCCATGAATGAGCCTAACCAAAAAGCATCTACAAATAGTGGCACTTAGTGACCACCTTTTCATTATTACCTTCACCCCAACCCAAAATCATCGGCCAAAACAAATAAATAAATAAAATCATGTATAGAGGCAATGGACGAACATACCCTCACTCCCATTGTTCCATAAGATTCAACCCCACAAACTCCAAACACTACGTCACATTCGCCGGCACAACCATCGAGACTACCGTCACCGACCGCGCCGCCACTGCCTCCGCTTGGGCCGACGAGATCGTCTCCCTCCACGGCGGCGGCCCGGCCGTGGTCGGCCTGGACGTCGAGTGGCGGCCCCACCTGGTCCGCTCCATGAGCAACAAGTCCGCCACACTCCAGCTCTGCATAGCCGACAAGTGCCTCATCCTCCAGCTCTTCTACATGGACGAGGTCCCGGGCTCGGTCGCGGGCCTCCTCATGAACCCGAACTTCACCTTTGTAGGGATCGAGGTCGGGGACGACGTGCAGAAGCTGAGGGACGAGTACGGGCTCGACTGCTGTAGCCACGCGGACGTGCGTGCGGTGGCTCGAGAGAGGTGGCCCGGGAGGTTCAGTAGGCCCGGGCTGAAGGATCTGGCGTATGAGGTTTGTGGGCTGGGGATGAGGAAGCCGAAGCACGTGTGCTTGAGTAATTGGGAGGCGAGGGAGCTTAGCCAGGCGCAGATTGAGTATGCGTGCATTGATGCTTTTGCTTCGTATAAGATTGGGCATAAGCTGCTTATTGAGGAGAAAAATTAATGAATGGGTTTATTTATTTATATATTAAATATCGTGATATAATTATTGGTTATTGTTATGGTGATTTTAGGAGTCGTGCTTGGGTTTTGAACTTTGGTGGTTGGTATGAAATGAATTATTAAATGTTGCGTGGTTGATATGAAATCGCTTGTTATATTTTCTTTTTATGGCTATTTTGAACATTAGTGTAGAATATTTTGAACATTATTAGACTAGTAAAGGGGCATAAAAAACTAAATTGATGATGCTAAGATTGGGTACAAGCTGCTGATTGATCAGACTATATTTTTATTTGTTTTTTTGTTGGTACTAAAGAGGGAGGAGGAAGCTTAAGAAGCTATCCTACGTGGGTATGCCACTCCGACAAAGTCGTGTTCCAGCCATGGCTTCAGCCCAGCTGGCGGGAACTCGAGGCGTTGTAGTCCTCCAGGACTAGTAGACACTAGTGCCGCCAAATAATCTGCCGAGAAGTTTGATTCTCGGTAAACAAGCCTTATTTCCACAAACCATTCCCGGCTCCGCAATTCATTAATAGCCCGAACTAGGCTACTGTGGGCTCCTTCCTCGTCAGTCTGCCCATTCACCATCTCCACCGCCGCCTTGCTATCTACATCGGCCAGGACTCGACGGTACCCCAAATCCCACGCAAGCAACAAGCCTTGAAGCAGGCATGAAAAGCTAATGTAAATTTATTCATAATTTTTTTTCTAATTAAATAAAACAAATTAACCAACCAACCTGAAAGATGTATTTTTGGCAATAAGTTAAAAGATAATATACTGAAGATTTAGTCTTGCAAGTAAATAGAATTTATAAGGGAAGGTCTTCATTTATTTTAAGTATAAATCGATATTTATATTATGCATATTGGAAAGATTTTGCATGAACTTATTCGATTATATTTTTTAAGCTTTGGACGTGTGCATGGAGATAAGGATCGACGTGCTTAGGAAAGAAGATCAAGAGAGAGAGAGAGAGAGAGAGAGAGAGAGAGAGAGAGAGAGGAGCCAATATTCACTTGTTAGCTATGTCTAAACAATCTTGATTGGAAGGAAATTGTCCTTGAAGGAAAAAAAAGTAGCTAATTGGAGAAGCTACTTATACCCATATTGAAGATCAATTGATGGAGTAGCTAATTGGAGAAGCTATTTATATCCATCTTGAAGATCAACTGAAGGCTACTGAGAGTTTCACAATTCGCATATCATTCGAGCATTCAATTAAGAGTTCAAGAATTTTGTTCTAAGATTTTCTTTTGACGTTCAGTTTATCGATGTTCTTACATGATCACTGACTTTGTTTTCTCATATTTCAGTTCATAAACTTTATTATAGTACTTAGGGATTAAATGCTAGTTGCTCGAGGGATTCGAGTATGTAAAGTCCACGGAAAGTGGACAGAGAAGTAGTTGGTAGGATTTGTTTGCTAGACTATAACGGAGTTCTAGTTGTGTAAGTCCAAACTATAGATGTGTGCACAATCGATAAGATCTCGGAGGGGTGTTTTTATCTATTGTACCAGGTGAAGAGCACCATAAGAGGATAAGAGGATGAGCCTAGGTGCACCTTAATGAGATTCCATCCCAAAATCAATTGAAGAAGTAGTCCACTAGGCTATCTAGGCTCCTTATACAATCAATGTGGGACAATTCACAAGTGATATTCCAACACAGCCCCTCATTTGTGAGTCATTAATTCGTAAGCCCAAACCCAGAGCAGGCCGGGTAGAGAAAGTCATTGCAGGTCCTACGACATGCCTGCTCTGATACCATATTAGAACCGGGGGGGAAGGGTACGGTTCCACCAGGTGAAACACACCATAAGAGCATGAGCCTATGTGCTTACGCTATATTACTTATTCTGGTGAACACAGTTTAACAACCATTCAGTTTTTCAGTGTTCTAAGAGCACTCACAATGTTTTGGGTCTCTTTTTGCATATGTGGCAAATAAATAGACTTAAGTATATAATGATATGAAACAAACCCAAGCTAAAAAATCCAAAATCTATCCAATACAAAAAAAAATAAAAAATACTAGGTCTAAAATAACTAACAACCAATAAAGATATAATAATAGTCAATGATTACTGATTGTACAGGTTCACTACTAGTGCAAAGGGGCAAGCACCTAAACAACACTAAACATAAATCAAAGGCTTGAATTATCGATAATTTTCCTAGTCAAAATAATAATAACCTAAAAACCCATCAAGCATTTGTGTTGACATTGTCCTCGGTTACCGTGAGCTGGGCCGCACCTCCGGAGTGGGGAGAGGGCTGGGAAAAGGGAGGCCACCCATTTGGGGGCCACGGGTACCCGCCGGCAGGCATGGGCGTGTCAACGTACTCCCACTGTGGCCACGCCCGGTTCGGTAACGGGCATGGGTGGATGCCCCATAACCAGTCCGGCTCCTTCCCGACATCGGGGTCGATTTGCGGTTCATCGAAGTAGTTGAAGGCGTTAGAGAAGAGGCATGAGAAGGCTACAACAAGGACCAAGACCAGTAATGTCTTCGCCATGGCTAAGCTAATTGTAAGAGAATTATTATTATTATTATTACAACAACAACAACAACAACATACCCAGTATATTCCTAACAGGTTGGGGTCTGGGGGTCAATTGTACGCAGACCTTACTAAGGAGGTTGTTTCCTTAGCGACCCAAGGTGCATTGCGCCGTTTGATATTTTTTTTTTTTTTCTAGATACTTCACTAATATTATTATTATTATTATTATTATTATTATTATTATTATTATTATTATTATTATTTTTATTTTTATTTTTATTTTTATTTTTTGTGATTATTTTGATGCCAAAGTATGGGGCATATATAGGAATGTGGTGGGTCTTGAGTATTTTAATAAAAGTGGGCTCTTTATTTTTATTTTTATTTTCGATATATTTGTGCGCATCTGGATGAAGTCCTGTGTGATTATGAATTGTTGGGAATTATTAACTGTAGTATATATTCAATGTCATTAATCCCCATTAGAGTTTGGGTATATGATGACAACTCTACTGATGCCACGGACTATTGTAACTCCAGTGGGTCTCACTTGCAATGAGTATCAGAGCATCCACAATGTTGGGTTGAATCACAAAAAAATGTATGTTACCTCATAAATAGACCCAATCTAAAAAAAAGTAGATTATGTCCTGCTGATATATTTATTTTAGACTCAAGTAGAGATCTAGTTTTTTTGCATTGGAATGAATTTTATCAATTTTACTTAGTTTTATCTATGTCATCCAAGACTTGAGTTTATTTACATGCCACATAGGCAAGACTAGACCCAATGCATTGTAAATGCTCTTAACTATTAACTAATCTCTTGCCAGATAAAGAAGAAAAATGCTACAGTCCTGTTACGGAACTATTCAGTTTGGATTTGTAACCGTTAGATGCACATGTAGATTAGATGCACATGTGCATCTAACGGTTACAAATTTCAACGGAACGGTTCTGTAATGGGATTGTAGACTTACCCGATAAAGAACTCTATAACGTTTCAGTATATGCTCATTTAAAACCTAACTTTGTTATATATGTTCTCTATGAGTGGGTATGCTAATTACTAAAGGATATTCTATTATAACATCTTAATATGGGTAGGAATAACTCTGGATTGGGATTCATATAATAAATGGTGGATAATATACTATTAAATTATTGATTTAGTGATGTTGAAATACTTAAAATATATCTTATTTCTTATGAATAAGATGGGGAATCTATATCTACATCTATATCTATATCTATATCTATATCTATATCTATATCTATATAATGGACCAATCCATTTTACTATATTTGTCACAAATTTTCCCGCCTAAATATTTCAGCTAAATTTGGCAATTACTATTAGACATTCATTTATTACCGAACCGTGCTGATTTTTTTTATGGTTTTTTAAAATCTTAAGCACCACAAATCGAACTCTTCAGAAACCGAACTGCACGGAATACATCAGTTCAGCTCGGCTTTGGTTTTGACTCGGTTTTACTCACCCCTACCTAAATGTACCGTATTTGTAACAAAATAAATACACGGCTGATCGTGGTTGGTTTACCCGAGCTACCTTATGTGATATATCACATGGGATGGCTCATTTTCTCTTGGAAGTTGGAACTAATTTCTTATGTTCTTTATGTGTGTGCATCAGTGCACGCTAATTGATCATTGCCTTGAATTCAAATCCTTCATTTCCTTGTTTGTTTTGATTCATATTGAGCATGTTCATTGATCATTGCCTTAAATTCAAATCTTTCATTTTCTCGTACATTTGTTTTGATTCATATTGAGTATGACTCTGGGCTTGTCTGAGTTCCAGACAAGCATCACGAGTATACATATGCAATGCATTCAATCTATTTATACAGAAAACTGTTGTATTGTATGATTTCATGGATCCTTTCGACATTTGGTACTAAAGTTTCTTGATGCTTAATATAGGCATTCTTATTATCAACAACTACAACCATTTATTCCATTGATATAAAAAGTGTTGCATCTATCTAATTATAATTCGAAATTCTTTGTCAACTTCAAAAACAAAATTTTCACTATAAACTGCCGTAAACTTGAGATCTTTTAATGCAAGACGATGCTCCATTTGATAAGTTCAGACCATATAAATGCCATCACGATTGTCAGAATTTATAAAATTTTTAATATCCATTAATAACGCGATTGAGCTTAGATATTAGACACAATGCAGAGCCAAAAATAAAAAGTAAAAGATGTTTGAAAAGGTTAAAGCCCTTTGGAATTATTAATCATTCAGAAATGATACTAGACTGAGACAGCAACAAAGAACCAAAATCAAATCCCAGGTTTGCTCGTTTGCAAACAAATGGCACTTTCCAATACAATTTTACAAACACCAAACACTTCCTAACAGAATCTAACTCACCACATCCAAACATTGCCCACCCATCAAGATTTTAGAGGCTCAGCTCTTGGCCTCCACAACCCAAGCCGGTACTTGTGGGCATACTTCAGTATCAGCTTTCTCTGAAAAAAACAGTACAGATTCAAAACATAACACAAAGTTATGAGTTTATCCAATCTTAAATAGATAAATTTGTGGTTGCATATGTGAACTCATTCATTCAGTACACAAAATCTACCCACATGATGTTGACCAAGGCTCAAGCAACAAATAAGCAATGGGAATAATGTTTTCTCACGAAATTGTAGAGAATTATTACAACGGGAAAATACGGATATGCTACTTGTCAGATAAATTAATGTGGAAATACACACCTTCTTGAAGGTTTTCTACAAGGTCAGCCTATAATGCTATGTTAAATAATCTAATAGGGGAGACCCCTGGTTCCTATAATTGGCTCTGGAAACTCAAGGTGCCTGCAAGGTGGATTTACTTCATTTGGTTAGCCCGAAGGGGCAGGCTTCTCACTAATGAAATGAGGGCGAAATGGATTCGTTCTTCGAAGCTCCAGTTCGTATAGGAGGTATTTAAAGATAAATGTCACTTGTTACATCCGCAAAGGTTGAGTGTGACTATCTTAGAATCCAATAATTCAGATGATCAAAATTATCAAAATATGATATTTTGTCCAAAATTGTGAGGCTGGACTAAAAGTTGAGAAACTAAGGGCATGCAAGCTTCGTACTAGGCAGTAAATATCATGGTACTAAGAAATACATAAATATGATGATTATCACAACTATATAAGAAGCTCCGCAAGAATTAAGCAACAAGCGTTTTCCTTATTCAGCTGCCACGCCAAACTGCATTACAGCCACTGAAAATCTCAAGTGTCCATCTGAATAAGTTAAGACAAAAAGATTAATAAACCAGTAAAAATTAGGTCATTGCACAACAAACCCACTTTTTATGTATTATTGAAAATGATGTGGCCAAAAACGTACAGAACCAAATGAATAACTCACAATCTAATGTGAATTACCTGCCTATTTGACAACTAACTAAAATGACAATATATAATAGCTTCATAATGCTTAACATGAACATTACAAAGTGGCTAATGAGAAGCTAAGAGGTGGACCATGTCCTTCAAATGACCATGTTCTGTTTTTTCTAAACTTACGACATCAAATTTGAAGCATAATTGCCATGCCAAACAACAATGAGGATTTGCCGTCTTTTGTTCACTAAATGAGAAGCTAAGAGGTGGACCATGTCCTTCAAATGACCATGTTCTGTTTTTTCTAAACTTACGACATCAAATTTGAAGCATAATTGCCATGCCAAACAACAATGAGGATTTGCCGTCTTTTGTTCACTAGTTAGAACAAAAATCATCGCAATAATCATTTGATGGCTTAAATCTGCCAGCAATAGAACCATTAAAAGCCACTCAATCTTTCACTTCTCAAAAAAGTTACAAAGCTGCACCGCCAGATGGCTTCAAGAGACAAATAAAAATCATGTTTTTCGTACTAAACAACAACAACAACAACAACATACCCAGTACATTCCCAACAGGTTGGGGTCTGGGGGGTCAGTTGTACGCAAACCTTACCCTTGTAATTATACAAGGAGGTTGTTTCCGTACCCAAGGTGCATTGTGCCGTTTGATATTTTTTTTTTCTAAAAACTTCACTAATAGAAGAAGCACTAGAATTTAATTGAGCCATTTTGATCTAGTCCATATTAGCACTATGCCAGGAGAATTATCAACAATGACTCTTCCAGCTCCATTTTTCGTACTAAACGTGTAAAATATTACTTTTCACTAAGTTAAACCAAGAACTGTTTGTACACTATTCCATAGCAAACAATAGAAACAAAAACCAGACCCAACACCTGGAAATTGAAAACCTAAATTCCAAAACAAAAACATCTCAGGCATTCTAAATTCATTTGAAGAAGAAAAAAAATCAAGACCGATACTCTTACATCCTTGCAAGGGATTCCTAGTCTCTTGAGCTTGATGGTTCGAGTGACGAGAAGCTTGTGCAGGTCCCCAATCTCAGATTCAAGTTTTTCCACATGATTCTCCAATCCCTTCCCAATTCCATTCAAGAACTCCGGTATACCAACTTTCACTGCAAATTCCAATAACGGTTAGAAAAGCACATTTTTTTCCATTTCCATTTAAGAATCTTAAATCGCAAATTTACAATATCAAGCAAGCATAAAAAATGTGCGATACCATCATGTCATCCTATAAATGCATACCGATATAATGGCTGGATTTGGAGGAATACTTTGCAACACCAGGCACAGAAATTGAATGTGCTGAGGCGGAGGATAATCTTCCACTCCACCACAGGATCTGTCTCCAAGCCATGTCGAATGCGGAAATTGATTTCAATTTTTCTCCGAGGGCATCTGTGGAGAATAAACCCTATCGAAGGCTCAGTCAGACAATTGGCCAAGACGACGTCGTTAGGTCATACGCTCGCTGCAAAAGTGGAAAATACTATTGATCCTATTTAAAAAGAAAAAGAAAAAAATAATTATTATAAATTATAGAGGAAGATAAATAATACTTAATAATTATAAATTAAAGATTTGGGGTCAAACAATGTAAAACTATTTTGTATAAAAAAATATGAAATTTACATTATTTTGTATAAGAGAATATAAAATTTGTATGTTTAATATTAAAAACACCTAAAATATTACATTAGTATATGTAAAAGTATTCAAAATTTTCTATATTACTTTTGAACCACTTACTTTTTTACGGACCTTACCGCAGAGTGTTCAAAGCTCTTCCTATGCCAAATTAAATCATTCAATTGATTTCCTGATGTGAAGTCACCTACAACTTTTCTAAACAATTTTAGAAGGAAAACATATCTAAAAATATTTGAATTTAACATTATGTAAAAAAAAAATTTCTAGATTATTTTGTAAAAAAAACATGTTTACAAATATTTAAATTTAACATCAATTATGTATATGTGTATACCTCTCTTATCTATATATATGAAGGAGTTAGACTCTTTGTGGTCTTGACACGTGTCCATTTTTAGTGCCTTTAGGAGATGACATGTGTCAACTTTGTAATTTACTTAAATGTCTTTTTTTTTCATGCAAAAATATCCTTATTTAATTACATACATATGTCTATTTTTTTATTATTATAATTTGTTGTGCTTTTTGTGGTACAGTGGTCATTAACTATGACCTTTTTTGTGCTGACCTGCGCGGCTCATCTGACACACACTTTTTCCCAGTTTTCCCAGTTTTCCTTGCACGCTACCTACACCGACTAAAGAAATTGAAGAAGGACCTGAGATTGAAGGAGACGTCTGACAAACACTTTTCCCATTTTTGCTCGCACGCTACCTACACGACTAAGTAGAGGTACCGACTAAAAGATATTGAAGAGGGACCCTGAGATTGAAGAACCATGTTATGCTCTCCAATCTAAAACCTAACCTCCGCGGACTGACCGAAATTCCTCATCAATCGGTTTTTTCCTCCTTGGCCGAAATCCCTTCAACCAGTTCCCCGGACTGAACCCAATGCTTGACGGAATTGAAGGCGCGTGTACGGCGCGCCTGCGGCACTTGCTTAGGGATGACCAACGCGCCGGAAACAATGGTTAAGATGTACATTCCGGCTGTGATGGACGGTGTCCCGGCGATACTTTATCATCAATCGAGTCTAAAAAATGGCGGCGAGGTTCGATTTCCACTATAGTTTCTGTTCTAAATTTCTCGCACTTTCGTGTCTGATTTTGAGACATGACTTTGGTGTCCCGGCGATACGTTATTTTATCGCATAATTTTGAGACTTGAGTTTTTTAGATTGCAAAATTCAAGCTTATAAAATTTTTTTATTTTTATCCTGGTTAAGATTCTGTGGTATTGTAAATGGTTTTTTGATTGTGTTGTTTTTGCTTGTTAGTTGAGCATGAGTGTGGCTCAAATGAAAAGCTTCATTTCCCTGGCCTGAACCCAATCCCATTCCGAATCGGGCCTCGATTCCACTCAATAATAGTGTTGCCGCTGCAACAGGCGCGTCGCTGTCGAATCCCTACGGGATTTCCTCGACGTCATCTGCTTCGACTACAAGAATGGATTCGTCCATAGACGAGAAGAGCTCTCGCCGCTGGCGGAGAGCCACAATGCCGTTGTGACAAATCTCAGGTCTAAATTGTAAAATCCTGTGAAACCCACCTCAAAAATTATCTTTTTGCTAAAAAAAATGTTTTTGATTTTTGTAGATTGTGTCTAAATGTGGTGAGGTCACATTGGGCCGATAATGGAAAGAGTCTACAATTACTGAACAAGCGGGCAATAATCGGGCCGACCTCTCTGAGTCTGTGATATATATGCATCAATATTTGCAAAAATCTATTTTAGCCACTCACTATTTGGTTTTGGTAGGTTCGGCCACTTGAGGATTAACACTCTCTATAACCTTTTTCGTTCAGAACGAAATTCTATTCTCTTTATATCTATATATGATGTACGATTTCTCTTGTTGATTTAATCTGTAGAGAATTTGGGAATTTTAAAGCTTGATCTGTTTTTGTTGGTGTTCAATTTTTGGTTGAGTTCCATCCCTAGAATAACAAAGTTTTCATTAGTTCTCTGATGCATACTGTCATGCAAACTGTCAACTTATTGTGTGTGAAGGATACTTTTTTTGGTTGACTTCCATCCCTAGAATAACAAAGTTATCCATTATTTGATTTTGCAAGTAAATATTCATGTTGTGGTATTTGTTGTGATATAAAGCTCTATGCAAAGATATCAACCGTAAACGACTACTGAATCGCTTGTGGTCGGAGACGATAAGGAAAGTGTCGGAGCCGAGCAGGAAGATGGTGACAGAGAGACTGCTGCAGCCTGACAGGTCACTGGCGAGGCTGGACAGGAATTTTAGGTGGGGAACAACTACCATTTAGAGGGTACAAATCAGATTTCTGAAATCTAAAAACATGATTAGTTTTATAAATTGATTTTATGTTTTATTAAGCAATCGATAAACTATTTGTCACACCCCTCATTTCTCTTCTGCCAAAAAGTTGTCCAGACCTCCCATTTTGTCACCTATCAAACCTTACCCATCGTCAACCGATGTCAAATGAAACTAAAGGAAGCCAATTCAGAGATCACTGGCGAGCAGAGGCAGAGAGACTAGAGACTGGTGATTGTGTTCAGCCGTTGACTGAGTTCTGAGATCGTCCTTAAACGACAACCCTACCAACAGGGGACTTAGCGGCTAAATTCGAGCAAGGAGTAAGTTCTACCCGAATTATATGCGGGAACGTTCAGAGACGCCTCCGTGCATTTCTGAAGATATCATATTCCTCAATGTGAGTTTCATTCAAATTTCCCAAATCCTAAATCCTGATGCATTTTTTTCGGGTTTTCATGTTCGTTTAATATATATCCCTATTGATTTCGGTTTTTTCAATTTTTCTTTGATAGGGCTTATTTTTTCTATATTTTTTCTTTCTCGATCCGGTATGGTACTAATTGAAACGTCCCGGTACACATCAGGCTTCAACTTGGGTGAGCCCAACATGTTCGCAGACTGGATTCATAGGATGTTCAGGCTTGAGCTGATGATTGACGAGGATGCCAGGGAGGGTGTTTTTTTGAGACTTTCGCGGATTAGGATACGGATACCCACTTCATGCAGGTTATTAATGCTTCTATGTCCTCCTTTGTTTGTGTTTGTGTGCGTGTGACTACAATGGTTGAAATTTTGTAGTTTTATTTTTTTTTATTAGGGAAGAAAATATAATGCGACCATTTATAACGTGAGCTCATGACACTTTCTATAAGCTCAGTAGCTCTGAAATGATGGAAAAATCAGACGATGTGCCTAATCGACAGCCCCAAGCAACCAACCATGGGCCAAGAGTAAATTATCTTTTGTTTCAGCTGCTTTATTTTGCTTTTAGTGACTCGAGAGTCGAATTTGTGACTCGCGAGTCGAATTTACTCATTTTCTTCTAAGTTTTATCTGTTTATACTTTCATTGCCTTTCAAATTAACATTTTGAATTTGTCTTCCCTTGAATTTCAGCAACAACTGAATGATATATGATGCAATCTGGATTTATGCCCAAATATTTTTGCAAATGTGCACCAAAATTTAAATTATGAATTACCTGTACAACATTGTTTTTTTGGTTGTTTCCGACATTTTTTTTTTATGAATTTAGGTACTATTTCTGAAGCATCTTCTTGGAGGAGGATTCGTGAAACTCATAATGGTATAATTTGTTCTTATTATTTTGTTGCAAGGACAGTGTGTAGTGGAAGAGATTTGATGAGTTTGTGATTGAGAGGCCAAAGGTAGATGTAACAGCCAAGTATCTGAGCACACTGTTCTCCAGTAAGTGTCTAGGAGCTCTCATGAATTGACTCAGTTTGTTAATTGAGTAGCTTATCTCTGGTCTGGTTATGGTGATGTACTGCAATGCACCTAGCACACTTCTATAAAGTGTTGCATTAACAGACTCATTTCTAATATTTCTAATATATCTGCACATTTGATATGAAGTTACCATAGGAGTGTCTGCTTCTTTAGCTTGATTCATTTTCACTTGAAGCAACAACTTCTTAATATATTGTTTCTGACAGTTATAGGTGACCTTTTGAGTTTGAGGTTACCTGGATTCCTAGGAAATGAGGCAGTGGTCCTAGGTCCTTTAGAGAAAACTTCTTATTTAAGACACAAGTAAGTTCATACATCTCATTCTCACAACTTTTTGTGATTATGTTTATTGATATTTCTTGGTTAATGTGTTTCTTTAATCTGGCATGTTATTTTGTTATTACAGGTTTAAGGCTGTGGATCATGGGATTTGTATTCTCTGGACCGCTGCAGTCTTGGGGGTAATGTTATTGCTTTTTTCTTCCTTTTTACTCAAATAAGTAACTTTTGTAGATTTCGTTAAAATATTTACACTTTCCTTGCATTTGTTTCCTTGCATTTGTTTAACAGTATTAGATTACTTTGCATAGCACTTTGTAAAGTAAGTTGTCATATAGTTTGATTTCTTCATATTCTGAAATACGATGCATAATGTTGATTCTTAAATTTCTGGTGGACCTCATTCGCCTATTGTAATTAAATTATATGAAATATCTGTTTAGAAAAGAGAAGATGGGCATTACTTTCTCATTCGATACCACATTGTTGGTTGTTTGAACATTTCATGATTAAATGGCTCAAATGGTTTGTCTTTGGCTTCTAATGATTGTTTGTCTCATTACATCACTCTCCCTTTGGTTTGTTGTTCCACTTTTGCTTTAGGCGATGGAGTTCTTGCAAATTTCCTAGGATAACATTTCAAACTTGTGTTCCACAACTTTAATACTAATCAAACTAAACTGAATAGCAATCCCAATAGTCATTTTAGTATCCAGTTTGCTTAATAAAGGAATTTAGTTTCCTTTTTGTTTATATAAGAATAAACTAAAGCAATGGTTAAAATGTGTTTGTTGAGATGTGCATAGCATTTATTCCTGCATGTAGTGTAGGCTACTGCGTGGAACATGAAATACGTTTCTCAGTTGGATGGGTTGGATCATGAACTAAACGACTAGGTTTTTTGACGAAATTCAACAATTGCGTGCCAATGACTGAGATAAATTGGATGTTGTGTTCTGCTAGGGCTATGTGGATTGGTCTAGCAGTAGACAAACAAAAAGTAGGTGGTCAGACCAAAGGTATCCTTATTGCTTCAAGCTTTTTAGGTGGATTTGGAGCAGCAATTTATGTTGTTTGGTTTTAATATCTCAACTAATGTGTTATTTTAATTTGGCAGTTCCATTTTAACGTGTTATATAGTACTTCCCAAAAATCAAATGAGCAGATTGGGCCAGGCCGGTAGAAAATTTTATTAGGTTGACTTGGAGTTTTTCCTTGGACTTATGGTGCACAAAAAGGGCCCAAAACTAGAATCATAAATTCATACTTATATTGTCCGTTTTTTATTCTGACATATTTTTGTGAGCAACATCGTCAAGATCATTACAAATTTTAAAAAAGTTGCAACTTTTGTATCAATTTTTTCAATAGTTGTTGGTGTTTAAATCTAAGTAAAATAATTAGATGATTTTAGGATGAATCGGTAACTAAATAACAAAATCATCAATATTCCTTAGAGTATTAAACCATTTGAGATTGTTCGTAGACATTTGCGGGCAAAGATTTGGTTAATATGATGCTCAATTGTGTTGCGGTTAAAATTGCAGTTGTATAAAATTTACTGAAGAAGTTGAAAAAAAATATGGAAAAGTTCAAATGATAATTTCACTAAACAGATAATTATGCATGCATTATAGACTGAATTTGAGGTGACAATATTTTTAGACTAAATTTGAGTCTGTCGTGCGTGCACGGCGTGAGACAACTAGTTTATATATATATGTATATGTATATATAGACGAATATGTAAAAAATGTCTAAACAATTTGTTTAAAATATCTAAAATATTAGAAGCATAATTTAAAAAAGACATTATGTCAGATGATACCGAATTTATGGCGTTACTTCCATCTAAAAAATTTGATTACACACCATTATTATTATACTTTTTACGTTGTTATTGTTAGCTTATAATATTTGTAAAAATATTAGTAATTAGACCAATGAAAATTAGCTTTTTAAGGTAGAGAATGGATTTCTAGTAGTAATTATGAATTGGTTTTTTAAATCTATAAGAGATGAGATTTTTTAAATTTGTGAGATTGTATGCAATGGGATTTTGTAACAGATAAGAGATAAACTCTAGATTTATGCTATGAGATTTTATAACGCGATTTTCAATACCCAAAAAACAGGAAAAAAGGAAAACAGATTCTAACACAATTAATCTGCCGATTTTGTTGCCTTATCAATATTGTCCATCAATTACTATATATAGGATACATTTAATGTATTTTGCGAGAAAACATTTCTAAAATTGTAAAAAGATTATTCTTTTTATATAATGATAGATAACAAAATAAAAAAATAAATTACTATATGGTACTTGAAAATTTTGGTACTTAAGAAAATGTACAAAATAATTATATTTTTATTGTTAAATTATAAACATTAAAGAACTAACAATGTGGTATAATACTATAATTTAAGAATAAAACCTGGTGTTCTACACTTAATTTGCTAAAAAAATAATTATTAATAAATTCCTATTAAATTATATATGTCCAAAACAAATATTATCTATGTTACCATAAATTTAGTTTTGAATTTTTTAGTTTTTTTTTAAAGTCATATTGTATTGTAATTATATTTTGTATTTTTAGAATTGATTTCTCATTATTAATTTTTTAAGTATTTTAAATTTATAATATTTGATGTTTTAATATATAAATTAATATATACTAATGTATATTTTTTTTATTTTTAATTATGTCAGTCATTGGTACTTTATTTGCAACATCATAATAACGTTTAAACACTATATATACTTTATTTAAGTCGAGACTTAATTTTTAGAATTTTTTTATATTTTTTTTGTTAATACTCAATTTTCACATTTTTTTTTGTCAAATCTATAAAAACAATATACTAAAATAAGTATTTATGAAGTTCTCTTTCTTCTCAGGCGAAAAAAAACCTTGCGAAAAAGACAAGCTTCTCAACCCAGCGAAGCCTTCCTTGGCGGCGGCGCGGCATCGGCCGGTGGTCGTCGTTGACCGCCGGCCCCCTCAGCTGAACCCTGATGCTGCCGTAGTGCTCCGGCTATAGAAAGGATGTCCTGCCCGAGGTCAACGGCGATTTCGCGGTTAGAGGGGGCGAGCCTCTAGGTCGACGATTGGGCGGAAAAAAACTCAGTTTGAATTAATTTGAATGAATTTATTCTTTTACAAAAATAGCCTTAGAAATCGAATTCTATGATAGTTCTTATTATGCTATTATGTAGCATAGCGGTAGCCGGCTTTGAGTTTGGGGCAACTTTAAATCTAATTATATTTTGTTCTATTCTTTGACAAACTTTTGGTAAATTAGAAATCTACATATGAAGTCTTTAAATTCAAATTCTAATATTCAAATTCTATTATCACTTTATCTATATATGAAGGAGTTAAACCTTCTATATGATTAACACATGTCCATTTTTGTGGTCTTTAAAAGTTGACAAGTGTCCCCTTTTTTTACAGGTTTGCCACTGCACTTTCAAGAGCGTGTTTTAATTGCCTAATTCATTTTTTTACAGTTTGGCATTCATTTTCCAGTTGTTGCCACAAGCCCCCTTTTTTTGCTGACAATTTTTTGACCGAGCAGAGACACTCTGTATTCAAAGATTTGCTACCCAAAAATCTGCTCTGTCGTACCTACGAATGGACTTTTGCGCTTGCGTGTGGATGGCCTTCCGAGATTAGGGAAAGGGCAGATAGACGATATAACACAGAAGATAGAGGAGATTCATCCATGGATATAGAGGCTGCACGAATTGCACGGCGACAACGAGGTTTCCATCAACATCGTCCGCCATTGAGCCCTGCTGGTTGCCGGTAAGTCCTCGCAGCATCTTTATCTTTATATTAATTGAAAAAAATATGGAATTATGCTTAATACAGACGAATTGTGCTTCGCTAAGGTTGGTTTTGATGGGAGATGAGGAGTAATTGAGGATTGCGGCGGATGAGATCAGATAATCCTTGAACAACGTCATTTTGATCGAGGTAATTGGGCTTGATATGGAAAAAGAAAGATAGAGGCGGCTTTCAGTGAAGCCGTGGAGAGGGCAAGGCACGTGTTGGGGAGTTTGGACGCTTTGGTCAAGTGCTATTCCTATGAAGGTATTGTTATTTTTTCAGATTAGCATTCAGCCCACGTGCTTTATTTGTCTGGAAAATGTTGATGGGGTGTGAGACTGAGGTAGAGCTATTTCGGTTCAATTGTTTGTGAGTTGAATTACGATTGGTCGTAACTTAATTGTCGTCGATTCTAAGAGTATGTTCTTGATTGTGGTGAAGAGTGTTAAAGTAAAATGGTTTTCAACATTTGACTACTTGATAGAACTTATGTGAACACTTTCCTACAAAATTCCCTTTGTTGAGGTCTCAGTCAGATATGTGAAAAGCTCTTCTCCATTTTTTGCTGATGGAGGTTCGTATAATCTTTTGAAATTAGAGTATCTTCGTTGTATTTTATTCTTCGTGTTTGTTAATTCGAGTTGTATTTTCAATTTTGTTCTAGATTAATAAATATCATTGTTGAATTTATAGTCATGTTTAGCTTATTCGGAAATTGTAGTGATGGAAAGGAGGTGGAATTATTTGGATTTATCCCACTCGGAACTTAGATCTGCTATGCTTGATATGGATCGCAGTTCTTTTTTTCTCCTTTTTCTTTTCTCACTCAATCTCTTTTTAGTCTTTGTTATTTGGTTCAAGTGATCGGCTCCGACAATCTGAATCCTTTTATTGCTCTGAACAGGAAAGGTGGAAAGGACTTCTCAACCGCAATTTTGTAGAGGAATACGTGGCTAATTTGGTAATTGTAGATGAGGCGGTGACGCAGACGGATCGAACGGTGGAGTAGGCGTGCGGAGCAGACGGCGTCACGTGCACGTACTCTCGACTCTTGATTTCTGATTAACATGATGAAATGTATGCCGACTAATTTGCAGGTAGGTTCACCTTCATTTTGTCTTCTCTACACCCACATACGACTACCCTTCCGCTCGCTGCCCTTCGATTCTTTTTGTTTTCAATTTGTAAAAATTTTAACTTTTATACAGTTTTTTAATCTTTATAAATGGGCAGGTCCGTTTGATGTTATTGTAGCACTTACAAAATCGTGTTTAAGGGCCCTGGAGAGAAGGTCGAACCCAAACAGTTGTCAACTTTTCTGGAGAAGCGTGACCTCTATCGGTAGGTAACTCTTGTGGTTAGAGTTAAGAATTTTTAAATGTATGGAGGACATTTGAGATACCAACTATGTTTTTTATGAAATGTTTATACGCTTTTTGCCTTTTTGGTAGTATTAACTAAACATTGATAGATCAGAGTATCGTTATTTCATTACATATCTCTCTTTGTTTCATAGTTGGATTGCTAAAAGTTGAAGCAAGGGCGAAAGAGGAAGTATAACAAAAGATATCACATTCCCAGTTACGTTAATTGTATTTTTCATTTAAATTTGTGTTATATGTCCTTCAAGCCTATCTTAGGTAAATGGAGGTAATAATAGCTCTTTTAATTTACTTTTTTTTTTTCTGTTTTTTTTTTCAATGCTACTAGAATTAGTATATGCAAATTTTAGTAAAACTATTTCCTATATGGCCAAATCGCTTAGTTATGTCTCCTGACACCCTTTGAATTTATACTCCAATCAACTAAAGTTTGTAATATCACGCAAAGATTTTGGCCAACCGGCAATTTGCAGCTCGATCGAAAGAGAGAAGGCACGTTATATATCTGAGCTGGACAGAAAATTTCAGACTCTTCAAGCTGAGGCAACAACTCTCTCAGCTCAACTCACTTTGTACCAGGTATTTCATGAAATTTCTCTCCAACTATGTGAAACATGTTTTTGGTTTTCACTTTGGCTCTAATATTTTAAAATTGAATGTTTTGAGAACTGGTTTAGATGTTAGTTCGTATTTCATCAATGTTCTGTTTTGTTGAGGGTAGAACTATCATAAATAACAAGGTAGGAAGAAGTGTGCTGACTTCAACGTTCCGATAAAAAAGATGCACATTGAGCGCGCTTTGCTGGTAAGCATTTAACATCTAAAATTAGTAGCTAAAAAAGTTGTCAATTGCAAGGCTTTACAACCGTTAATCTAATTCAACTATATCTTATCTACAATTTAACCAATTCTCCTGTCATTTTGGAGGGAACACATTAAGCCGCTAAATGACGACACCACAATCACGCGAGCTGGTGGTGTTGACTACCAAATGGATATCGTAGGACAGAAAATTATGTAAGGTTATAGATGTGGAGCCTTTTTAAACGAAATGACATTGTTGAAAGGTTAGTCTGTGAGTTTACTCTCATACCGCATGAAGGAATTGTTTTCAAGTTTAAAATTTAGTGAGAGTTTATGTTGCTATATTTGCTATATTGGGTAGATTATTAGGTTACCGGTAATTTCTGCTTTCGAACACAACCTAGGATTTAATTGTGCACCAAACACGTTCTTTTTATGATTTCTATGAATATTGGATATTTTATCATGTTGTGGGACTCCTACCTTTGTGATGGATTAATTTCATGTAATTTCAATCTACTTTTTGAAATGTTGCCAAATGTTTGTATATGTATTGGTGCAGTCAGGCAAATACATTGATAAGGTTAGACACATTTTAAGCTGCAATTTTTTTGGGCTCTTTTAGACTAAATTTGAGTCCGCCGTGCGTGCACGGCGTGATCGAACTAGTATGGACAATAACAAAATCATCCAAAAAGAAAATTATGGAAAAATAAACATACAAAAAACGAAGTACAAAAATAGTCAAATATACAAAAATATAATATTGTTGTTTAATTGACAGAACTACCCTCACGTGGGCGCATAAAAAACATGTCATACGCCAGACATAGCCATCATTGGCCCCAACTCGCCAAATTAGTAATTACAGAGAACCCGATCAGACCCCACGCGCTTCCCTCACGCGCCGCCACCTGGTCCGCAGGATTCCCAGATTTACGGCCACAGAAAACGAAAAAAAAAAAAGCTATAAACAGCGATAGGCACATCCTTAGATATTCCTCCACACAGACACACAGTCGTTTGCGCACACACGAACAAATTAAAACACTCATCAAATTTCACAGGGTACAGCCGCAGAAGACGAAGAAGAAGAAGAGGAAGGAGACGAGCGCGACGGACTCCACGGCGGAGACGACCGACCACACGACATCGTCGACGTCTGGCAAACGGAGGCGCGGGGCCCACCGACCGGGCTCGATTGTACTGAGAGAGAGGCCGAGGAGACCGTTGCCCCAGGCTGACGGCGTCAGGTAGGAGGCGAAAAGCCTCGGCCACCGGAAAAACGATGTAGGCAGGGAGAAGCCGACGTCGATCCACCGGGAAATCGTCGCCGGAGTCCAACGAGACATTCCTTCGGACTTGGCTGTTTTCCTTCTCTTTATTTATTTATTCCTGTGGGATTGTGTAGTGATAAATCTCTTCTGGGGCGGAATATTCTAGTTTAGGTTTTGGAGAAGGGGGAAAGGGCGAGGGTGGAGTGATTTGGACCGTTGATATGCTTGGATGGATCCAAGGACCAGAAGCGATTTCCCGCTCTCGTGGGCGTGTATCACGTGAATTTGTATTTTATTTATTCGAAAATTAAATTGCTTGAGATTTACAACTGTCAGGCCGAGACAAGGACGTGTTTGTCATGCTGCAAAGAAATATCTAGCAAGCGTGTTTTAAATTTTAATTGGTTGTCTCGGTGATGGACGGATAACACGTTTCATATTTGTTTAGGGTGTTTTTAAAAAAAATCACATGTTATATAAGAAATACACTTATTTTATAAAAAAGTGTTTCATATAATAATGCAATAAAAAATGAACATACTCTAGCTTACATAGCAATAAAAAAAAGATCAAGTCCACTCTTGAGTCTATTTTGGACCCAAATGTGAACCTTACAATAACAATCATTTATTATTGTTATATTTTTATTGGTTGTTAGGTATTTTAGACATAGTTTTTTTTTTCCATTGGATAGATTTTGAATTTTTTAGCTTGAGTTTGTCGATGTCATTATAGATTTAATTTGTCCACGTCATTATAGACTTAAATCTATTTATTTGCCACTTATGTAAAAAGAGACTCAAAACATTGTAGGTGCTCTTATGAGTTTAAATTTTTTAGCTAATTATATAGTAGAAATGTATAGGTACATAAAATTACGGGTACATAACACTCAAATTGAGTAGGACTTACCAAAAATAAAAAATTAAGTGGACCTAACTTGGTATGAGTATTATGTAAATTGTATGTACATTTATTATGTAAAAATGTAGGAGCGCGTTATTGAAATCCCCAAATCAGTTTTCTAAGGTTTTTCAAAACCTAATCGAAGACAACTCTCCCTCGTCAATGGCGGAGCACGGAATCAATCTGAAACTGGAAAATGAAAAAGAAAAAGACTACGGCGTGTTATTGTACTACAAGTACACTTCAATCCCTGACCTCCAAAGCCTTTTCGATTTCTACAATGCAAACTGCACCTCTCTCTCTCTCCTAGGCCGTGTTCGCCTCTCCTCTCACGGCGTCAACGTCACTGTAATCCGAGTTTCCTTCTAATATAGCGCGGAATATTCGTTCATGTACATATATTTATGTATTTTCATCTTATGGAAACCTGAGTTTCTTTTTTATTTTGGCTTTGTTGTGTAGGTTGGCGGGAGATTGAGGGCATTGGAAGAGCACATTGAGGCAGTGAAATCTAATGCTTTGTTTGAAGGGACGGATTTCAAACTCGCATCTTGCTTGGAGCCGTTGAACAATCAAGTGGCTAAAGAGTGCGGCTTCACTTCTCTCTCTATCCGGATAGTTAAGGTCTCATCGAATTTTAGTTTTTCTGCACGAAATGTTTCTTGAGCTGATGGACGATTGCTTTTCCTTTTATTCTGTCGTTTCACCTTTTTACTTCTAAACTGCCGGATCATTTTACCAGCAGTGTGGATTCATGATTGATATGAATTTTGTGTTGCTTTATTGTTTGTGTGAAAGAGCTCGGAGGGGTGGGTTTGAGGGCCGATAGGGTGATAAATTTATGAAAGGGTGGAAGTTTGGGGGGAAAATGTTGCAGGTATCTGAAAATTTATGCAGGGATGAGTCATGAGTTTTATTTGTTTTGCTTAGTATAGTGCATGTGTGGTAAGTTGAACTATTGCATGTTTCATCTTTTTATTTGTTAGGTTAAAATATATCCTTCTTGAGTGGTGTGTTTACTCTATTTGAAAATGGTGGTTAGAACCTTTCCCCTCACATTCAAGCTGAAACGGGATCTCATACTGTCCATAGGAATTGGTGACTTTAAGTTCTCATCCCCTGTTAAAGTCCCCAGAGATTTCAAATGCTGGGAGGCATCTGTCGGCAGCTGAGTTTCATTCCATCCTTCAGAGTGCTGGTATCTACACTTTTGCTTAGTCCCTCCTTTTTCCAAGTTCTTTTTGAGTCGCGTATAGTTTAATTCCTTCTTTCTGGTCTCCTGGTTGATCGTGAGTCCAGTTCTGGTGCCTTAGTTAATGATGATGATGTCTGGACTAACCCTATTGTTTTTTATCAGTAAATTTGTCTTTAGCATGTTCTTAAAATTAGATGTGGTTATTTTCCAGGGAAATGCCAAGATGAAAATTCTGGCTGTGACAAAAAGTTGATACTATTAGATGCAAGAAACTTGTATGAGACTAGAATTGGAAAATTTGAGACTTCAGATGTCAAAACGTTGGATCCAGAAATTAGACAGTACAGTGACCTGCCCTCCTGGATAGACAACAATTCTGAGAAATTACGAGGAAATGATATCCTTATGTGAGTAGTTACATTGAAGTAGCATATGATCATGAGTTCCAAAATTTCATTTACTTGACACAAGCTCTTTAAAGCCAGTCAATCTGCAGTACAGCCCTTTGCTTTCAATGTTTCTCAATGTTCTTCTTTTTCCTTCTTTTGCTTGCGAGTACATGCGTTACTGCTGATCATTCTAGTTTACAAACTGGTTCAGAATTATATTCCTAATTTTTATTCTAACTAATTCTGTCATTTTGCTGATATATTTTGTGATTTGGGCATTCAATGTGTACTTTTTTTTTTGTATAGTAAATGTAATCCTTGTGTATATCTTTTATCCACTTTGAGCTGATGAANNNATCCACTGTATTAGTAACTTGTGTGGAGTATTTGGTTACCCTTTTCTCCCAATTTATTTTTTAGGCATTTTCTTCACGGGAAAATTTCTGCTGCTAATCATATTTGTTTCTGATCTACCGCATTGTCAATTTATATGAGGCACACTAGTATATGCATTTTTACCTCGTGTTTACTCTCATGTAAAGGTACTGTACTGGAGGAATTAGATGTGAAATGGCATCAGCCTACATCAGATCAAAAGGTGCTGGTTTTGAAAATGTTTTTCAGGTGAGCTCCTCTCAGCATTGAGCTATTGCTGCTACTGATACTAGGACAATTCCCTTTTTCTCTTCTATTTTCCGTTTCATGTAGACTTATACTGAAATTGGTCATTCTGATTGTTTTTAGTTATATGGTGGGATTCAAAGATATATGGAACAATTTCCAGACGGAGGCTTTTTTAAAGGGAAGAACTTTGTTTTTGACCATCGGTATGTTTTATGTATTTTTCTCTATTTCACTTGTGTGACATCACTGATAAAACCTTCTATTTACCCAACAGTTTGATTTGCACATTGATGTTTAGTGGTGGAAAAAAGTTGATACTAAAATGTTAATGCTATATTTGCTCGGTATTTTTACGTTAATATTTTCGTAAGCTGTATTTCC